AACTAAAAATAAAGTTAATTTTCTTCATCATTTCACTCATATCTGTATTTCACTGCTACTAACATTCAGAAATTTTGTTTCTCCTGATGATGGCCATGCAGGCCGAAACTAGTCTAGGAATGTAATTTAAATAATAAAGCGAAAAAATATTAATATACAACCCATTGTGCTTGAAAATTTTAAATTTTATATTTTTATTGTTCTAAACATATATATATATATATATATATATATATATATGTGTGTGTGTGTGTGTTTGTGTGTGTGTGTATGATGTGTGTATGATGTGTGTATGTACGTATGTGTATGTATGTGTGTGTATGTGTATAATGGTTCCATGTAGCTTGAGAAGTATGTGTGTGTGTATGTACTGATTCCTTGTGGTCGGACGGTGTGTATGTGCGTATATGTGTATGGAGGGAGAATATACGCACGCATATATACAAGCATGGTGACAAAAACACACGAAAATGGAAACAGATCTAAGAACGCACAGGGGTCAGTAAAACATTAAAAGATAAAATACCGATAAGTAATTCATCATTTTTCTTGGACCAACCATAATTGTTTTATGACCCTTCGCGCAGAACTCTTCATTGCCAATTCAAGAAAGACATTCAGATTACTAACACAAAAACAGAAAATGTGTCATATCGAGAATATTTAACATAAGGAAAAATTAATTATTTTTAATAATATGTGGAAATCTCCGCTTTTACCTGAAGATGGTTGCGAGACCTGAAATCTGTGTAGTAAAATTATGGAAAATAAAGCATAATAATTTTTTTTTAAAAAATCCACATTACAACCCAAAAAGTTTGCGGCACCTCTCTTCTCTTCTTTTTAATAAACCACTTTTCTCTCGTTGGAACCACTACAACCTCTTTTTATATATATATATATATATATATATATATATATATATATATATATATATATATATATATATATATATATATATGCACATCTTAAGTAAACAACTGTATTCCACCAATACTGATTTTAAAATAATTAACATAGCCTTGCTGGTGATTAATTATTTCCCACCATACGACAAGTGTTCTCAAAGAATCGTTTTAGTAACACTAGTCATTGTCCCACATATTCAGACCTTAAGAAATGTGTTGTGTACGAACAGTGTTCATTTACTTCTTATTCCAGTGGTAATAGGGAAGGTTAACGGGACAGTGTAGCAGCATATTTGTAAAATTTATTCAAGCTTTAATAACTGACGATTTAAAAGTAAACATAAAATGAAACAGAAATCAATACAAAACGATAAAAAACAACATTGTAACCAGATGAAAGGGGTGAACGAAATATTCTAGTATCAACAGAAATAATGATTATATGTGGAACTATAGAATCCGATTAGAAAGCATGATAAATTGCTGAAAGTAAAAATGGTTGATCGACAAAATATAATACCCCCAAAATATGAAAAGGCTAATCACATATCGATCCTTGCAGTTTAGTTTCACTCGATGAGAAAATATGTACACGAATGCTAAAAATGCTGGAAAAAATTTCTATCAGGCAATCAACAATATAAATTACAAAGAAATTGCATTCAGGCAGAACTTTCGGTTTGCGTATTTGTTTTACTTAATCAGTTCTTCAGTATATTGTTTTAAATGTTTTGTCTATATTTAATTTGAATTGACCAAAATATAATTTTCATGCTTTAGCCAACACAATACAAATTAGAAAAAGAATGGTCATTTAAAAGAAAAGAATTGTCAGTTATTACAACTTAAAAAAGTCCGTTTTTAAAACATTAATACAATTTTAAATATCCACCAGCATTATTTTATATATGCAACAACATTATTTTATACATTCAACAACATTATATTTATATAGATTTTATTTATACTATATTCTCCTTATAATCCGTTATTATATTCTCCGTATTTCTATTATATTTATTCCGAATTTAATATTTGCAAATGCCATGGACGCAGGATCGAAATCTGTTAAGAGAACATTGACATCTTCGGATGTAAAAGACGAATTTCACACGACTTATAAAAGGGAAAATGATGCGTACTGTAACACGTATTTCCGTTAAATATTACGTTTAAATGAGGAAAACTTATATATATATATATATATATATATATATATATATATATATATATATATGTGTGTGTGTGTGTGTGTATAGAGAGAAAGAAAGGGAGAGTGGGAGAAAGATAGATATATATATGTGTGTGTTCATATGTTCGTGCGTGAGTGTGCTCTTGTGATGAAAGCATTAGAAATGGTCTCTATACATACAGTGTTCGATTTGTTTGGGATGTCGAAATATACGATGGCTTTTGAAAAAAGAATGCATTCAAGAATGCATTCACCATACATCGATAGATGAAGTGAACGATCATCACACGCAGTAACTGCAACTTCATTCTGACCATCAGAATTGCACTATACACATTCATAGTCGCATTCTCAGGTTTGTGCTGCAAATATACCTAGGTGCGCGTTCAGTCATCTGTCACCCGAACAGACATTAGACTTTGCACACAGACACACTGAAAATTGACACACACGCACGCACGCAAACACATATCTATCTATCTATCTATCTATCTATCTATCTATATATATATATATTTTTTTTGTATACATATATATATACTCATATATATATATATATATATATATATATATATATACTTTTATATATATATATATATATACTCATTTATACATATATATAAATATATATATATATATATATATATATATATATACTCTTGTATACATTAGCACAGTCAGAGAAACACTTATACACACACAGAAACATATATATATATATATATATATATATATATATATATATATATATATATATATATATATATATATATATATAAACACACATTGAATTCTGGTTTTAATAAAATGGTAGATGTAAAACAAGACATCAATATATTATATATTAATAATGAATACATTTCTTCACAGGTAGCACAACACTGAGTTTAATTTCATGCACATCTTAATAGGTACTGGAGTTATATATATATATATATATATATATATATATATATATATATATATATATATATATATATATATATAATAGATTCATCATTATTATTATTATTTTCAAACGTCATTCTAGTGGATATCCGTTTTGGAAATAGAAGCCCTGGTTTTCTTTTAGTGGGTGTTATATCTATCGGTCTGCACTCTCAAGAAATCATAATAAAAATATGCTAGCCCCTCACTCGGCTAGGTTTAAACCTGTGTCCCACTTTATAGAAACAAACATCACTGTGACATAGAACGCCCCACGACAGAGAATTATCACCTCACCCGAAGCGTAGAAACGATCCTGCTGGTCTGCTCGTTGTCTGAAGCTGAGCGGTCTCTGTCCCGCCGAATCATACAGTTTAATTTTATACAAAGGAGAAAGCATGTTGAATAACGACTGGATTGCGCATTTTTATCATTAAGACATGTTCCTTGGCCAAACCGATAGATATCATGAACGCTGTTTAGTATAAAATTGGGGAGTCAATTTCAAATATTTGTATCCACCAAAAAAAGCGTTTCACACATATTGATAATAATATAATATAATGGTCGATATAATAATCAATCAGTTAGTTCTTTAGAATATATTCGGACGATAGGGATATATATATATTTTTTTTTTTTTTGCACTCACACCATCTTTCCAAACGGAAGTGTGAGAAGTCTGGAAAGTTTAAGTAAAAGAAATAATAAAAATTTCCTTCTCCGTCATATTTGAGGAAAAATGTATAAAATTTTGCTGCCTAAATATACATTAATACACACACACACACACACACACACACACACACACACACACACACACACACACACACATATATATATATATATATATATATATATGTATTGTATAGTGCGACTATCATTATAAATAGTTTGAGCATATTAATCAATACTGAATGAGGACTGGGAGTTTTAATATTTATAGAAACAGCAAACCATATAAGCTTACACACATACATATTTGTATTTGTGTTTACACACACAGACTCACAGACACACACAGACACACACAGACACACACATATATATATACATATAATATATATATATATATACAAATTTTGCATTATCCGGTTGTTCTCTACGTTCTATGTAATTTATTTACGTCCAATTGCTTCTGAATCAATATGTAACCAATTTAAACACTTTATTTGCATTGTCGATATAATCAGGATAATTTTCTTAATGTTTTTTTTCTTGCTACGTTTCATCATTTAGACAATTTTATAACATTTAACATTTATTTTAGTCATATTCTACTAATGCGCGCGCCAGAGAAATCAAGCATTTCTTATATACTCTTAAAAAGCGCGATGTAAGATTTAGACGTTAATCAAGCAACGTATTATGAAAATATACTCCCATATTTAAACTGTGTAAAACACCTTGAGCTAAACTTAGTCAACTTATTACTCCCGTGTCCATTAAAATTAATACATATAGAGACATTTTTAATTTATTGTCATATAACACGGGAACATTCAGCCAATATATTCTACACGATCCAAGTGTTTAAACACAATTCGAATACTGTTGTGAAACAATATCAATTTTATTTGTTGATTTTATTTGTTGATTTTATACCACCTGTATTTAATAATTCTTTATATCATTAACGCAAACACATTTTTAATCCTAATCTTTTCAACTGTTTAAAAATCAAGGAAGCATCTTGCCATCTACAGTTCAGCTACTAAATGTGTGCGTAGAAAGATTTTGTTTTACAATCACGGCGCATACAAGAATATACGCGTTTTCAACCCTTTCTTTCACTATTCCCTTTCTTAAAATTACACACCCTCCTTTGTATTGTACAAGCCATATATATGCACAAGCAAATTCTTTCCTTTTATAAATACCAGAAACTCGACCTCCTCCAGTCTGTACAAAATCGACCTATCAGGGAATACCATACAAAATATGATGGAAACAAATGCACGTAATGGTCGTACTTCCACAGCAAGCTCCTCCTTTTTGTGGAGTCGAATGCGTTGCAGAACGTAACGCCAAGTTGTTGTGCGCCACACAAGTCAAACAGACGTCGTGTCTGCTGGGACGAGGTAGAGTTTGCTATTGCTACCACAGAGACGAATATCTGCGTTACATTGTAGGCGCGCTCCGTTTGAATATTTTTTTGCTCTTATTGTACACATCGAGTTAATGGAAGGTCAGAAATCGGCCAAGCGAACGTTGATAGCCTTAATATGACGATAGGATCGATGCGGTTATAACCTATCGATAGATTATGTGGAGTTTGAACAGGAGAATTGGTGTATTAGATAGATAGATAGATAGATAGATAGATAGATAGATAGATAGATAGATAAATAGATAGATAGATAGATAGATAGATAGATAGATAGATGTTTGCATTTACACGTATTTAAAAAAAATAGCTATATTTTTATAGAAGACGGCTCAATATACTATAGTGTGACTGTCACTATAAATAGTTTGAGCATATTAATCAATACTGTATGATGACTGGGAGTCATAACATTTATGAGAGCAGCATACAGTATAAGGTTACATACACACAACACACACACACACATATATATATATATATATATATATATATATATATATATATTTATTTATATATATATATATATATATATATATATATATATATATATATATATATATATATATATATATATATATATATATGGGGGTTGTGTGGGTATATATTTGTATACACACACATATATATATATATATATATATATATATATATATATATATATATATATAGCAACACACACACACACACACACACACACACACACACACATATATATATATATATATATATATATATATATATATATATATGTTGAAGGAGAAGACTTTAAAACATTTTCTATTGTGAGGTTTCTATTCCTGAGAAATTAACGTGAAGTGAAACTTTTAATATCTTGTAACTTTTTATGTCAAAATTTGTCGAATTTCAAAGTGCTTTTTTTGTTTTTTTGCGATACTCAATCTTACATGGTATTGGTATATAAAAAAAACAGTCAGAATAGATTAATTGCCTATCCCTTGAAGTTGGAAATATTTCGTAATCTGGCTCGAAGCAAAGGATATTTCTCAAGCATTTCTGCCCTGGCACTAGTGTGGTATGTGTGATAAATAAAGATAAATTTTAAGTCATGTAGAGTTTTATCTGCATACAATTCTCACACACTCAAAAATGCATGCCTTACAGCCATATCACTTTGTAACACCGATTCTCGTGTGATCACAGAATTTAAGCAGTGTCGTGCCTGTTAGTCTCTCGATGGGTAACCACATTACAATGCCAGGTGCTATAAGCTTGGATGTGCCGGTGGTGTAAATGCTTAAAATTTGGAATCTGAGAGCCAAGTTCGATTTCCAGTCGCTTTCGTTTCATTTCCTTATGTGACAATAGCCATGGGGAAGATATGAATCTATCTCTAGTTCCCCCAGATATGGGATAATTAATTACTTTAGTTAGTAATAATTTCAGTAAATAATTATCTCCCCAAAATTTTTAAAATATACAAATATTTTCTCCCTTTAAATAAACGGAAAAAGTTCATTCAGTTTTTAAAATCACATAAACAACTCCCCTCTGCATATATATATATATATATATATATATATATATATATATATATATATATATATATATATAAACACATATGTTTATATATACACATTCATACATATATATATATATATATATAAACACATATATATATACACAAGTATATATACATATATATATATATATATATTATTTATATACATATATTCATACATGCACACACACAAAAAGGTACGCATAACAGCATACAAACACATATAAATAGCAATGTATATCAATTTATATGTGTGTATTTCAGCTTGTGTTTAAATTGTGTAAGATAAAAATATTCGGTAAATTAGAAGAAATATTTTCCACTTTTGCTATATATTTCAGAAGAATTAGTCATTACGCTGTGTAAAAATAACTATTTAAAACATTTGCTCTATCGATTCAGGAAAGAGCCCGTAACTCCTCTAAGATATATGATTTTAAAAAGGAAAATTAACTCACACATCTTGTTCGGTATTCGTCGCAAACTTTCGCTTCATCTGGGATTGTCGGCCTTCGATCCTTTGATAAGAAATCAAGATTTTTCCTGTGTTAGAATAATAATAATTATTATTACTATGATAATTACGATCGTGTAAGTTGAGATAATGATTAATGGCCAGTTCATTGTTAGCATTAAAAGCGAATATTTTGAAGAAGCAATTCCAATTAGGTAAAACAATATTTACGAGGTGCAATTTACATTATAGGATTTGTGTTAGGGTATAGAGTGTTCAGGTGTATTCGTCCGTTCTGTTTCGGCCAGGCCGCTTGTAGTGTAGCAAGAGTTGTCATAGGGCAGCAAATGCTGTTGTCACTGCCATTGTAAATATTGGATTTATTAACACTATTATAAACTATATTTGATGTGCTGTTAACGTAAATAAAGTGTGTTTTTTTTATTTTAATGGGAACATTTTAAGAAATATTCATCACTTCCTCGTAACTATAAATATTATATATTTTTTTTATTGCTGTATATTGGGCTTTTTACATACACATTTTTCTAGATATGCTATTTATAACCACATTGAATAGGCTGTAATCACGCCAAAAATGTTATATAGAAATGTATATTAAATTACACACGTCTATCTATCTATCTATCTATCTATCTATCTATCTATCTATCTATCTATCTATATCTATATCTATCTATCAATATATACATACATATATATATATATGTATGTGTGTGTGTGTGTGTGTGTGTGTCTGTCTCTGTCTGTGTGTGTCTGTCTGTGTGTGTGTGTGTCCGGGTGTGTGTGTGTGTGTTCGTGTGTGTGCGCGTGTGATCGTGTGTGTATTTTGAGTTTGTTTCGCTCGTGTACAAGCGATTGCGTTTACTGGTATGGAAAATAAGAATATTTTTTTCCTGTACTATTCTTACGTAAAATTATATATTTTATTTATTAATTACTTTCTTTCGATTCATTTTTCCGATGTTCCCATATGTGTAGGAAAGCCAGGAATGTCTTATTCTTTTTTACTTTTCTTTTACTTCTGCTTTTTTTTTTGTTTCTTTTGTCAGATATTTCGCATGGGAATTCAAAATATATTTGCAACTTCTTCTTCAATTAGATTTCTACATTTTTTAATCGTAAATTTAAAAGAATGTTTAGAAGACTCGTATATGGTTAGTCAGAAATATATTTTTTAATGTACCGTTTCTTTTTTTCGTATTATTTATCCGCTTTATTGTTTAAAGACAATTTACTTTTTCTCTCCTTGGCATTTCGATGAGCTTTTTTTTATATACATTTTTAAGAGAAATTCTCTGTCGTTTTTTTTTCCTGAGTTTTTTTCTTTCATTTTTTTTTCTTTTTCAAGTGTATTTACATTTCTTTTTTTTATATCCTTTGTTTCCATCGGCTTATTTCAATCTGATTCTTTTTTTTAGCTTTCTACTTTCACAATCTTTCTATTCAAAATACCATGTTCCGCTTCTTCTTCTTTTAATTCTTTTTTATTATATTCTTCTACTGCGGCTTTTATTTCAGTTTCTTCTTTTTTTATTTTCATTCTTTCTTCTCTCCTTCATTTCTTGCAAACAGCCATTACTCATCCGAAGGTGTTAGTTTTCACGAAGTGGTAAAAAGAAAATGTCCGTGTCAATCGACTATTCTGAACAAAAGTGTACGATTTTTTTCTCTTTTTGATAAGTCAAAAACAGTAAGTAAGTGTAATACAGAAAAGGCGGTATAAGTTAAAAAAGTCTGAAAAAATAATATAAGACTGATGATTGGTAAGTCGCATCTGTCAGTAACACGCAGTTGACTGCAATGTAATGCCAACTTAAGACTCTAAAACAATTATGAATTGCAGGGACCCAACGCTATATGCACAACAGAGTTACCAAAGTGCATACAAACATGGAAAGAGGGGTTTGAAAATGAATATTTATTTCAAAATACAATGTAGGAATTTGCCATAACGTCCATGCACGTGATCCGGTCTCAAATACATATTTATTATATTTTGTTTCTCATTCGACATCACCATTTTTGTGAATACAGTAGCAATTATTCTCATTGTTACTTTTATTTCCATGATAATTAGTGGGTTTTTAAATTAATGAATTGTAAAAGAAGTATTGGAGAAAATTTGATGAAAGCAAAAGAATAAAGGCGACTGTTGAATATATGCGAAGAAAGAAAGATTTATGGAGTGAAAATGGATCTTTGGGTGCAGATGGGGAAAGAAAGAATTCGGATGATGGAAAAAGTAGAAAGAAACATGAAATGGCACGTTGAACAGAAGAGGAAGTGGAGGAGGCGGCTTCTTAAGGAGATTTGTGAAATGAAAATGATGGTGAAGGCGACAAAAGGAGGAGAGAAAAAAATTATTTTTATATTAAAAAGATAGATAGTTGAAGTGGAAAAGACTGATAAAAGATATATATATATATATATATATATATATATATATATATATATATATATATATATATATGTGTGTGTGTACACATAGATACATTTATATATACATATATGTGTGTGTATACACATAGATACATATATATACACACACACACACACACACACATATATATATATATATATATATATATATATATATATATATATATATATATATATATAGACATGATTCACCAAATATATATATATAGACATGATTCACCAAACAATTTAGAGAAGTTTTGTAAACATATTTTCAATTAGATCCTTTCATATTCACCCTAAATCGGCGTCGAGCGATCACACACTGACTCAGCGTTCTTCATTCCCCGGGTAAATAGATTTATCTTACAGATGAACACAACAATGTTGTCCTCGATATTAATGAACACTACAGTATGTGTCTTGCAATAAAGAACCCTCTGATGATGACATTGTCATGTGTCGAATGTACTCGGAATAAGTAAATAATACCTATCAAGACGGCGATTGTGTCGCCTCCTTCAATATCGACATCAAAAATCTTGTATATGAAAGGACCCAGTTGAAAATATGTCAACAAAACTTGTCTCAATTATTCAATTAAACATGCCTAAATGAAAACATTTTCACACACACACACAGATATATATATATATATATATATATATATATATATATATATACGGGGTGAGAATAAGAGAAGAGAAGGAAACATATTGAGAATCAAAAGTAACGTGACATTGTAACAGTAAATCCGGAAAATGAATGGTTGCTAAACTCTAGAAATATAATACAAACCGTGTTTATATATATATATATATATATATATATATATATATATATATATATATATATATATATCTCCTGGT